GATAAAACGAATTTAATGAAAATGTAAATATAAACAGCTTAGAAAAATAATAGTTGTAGATGATAATGTTTCTGAGAGATATAATCACATCTATACTGGTTCTTATGATGTCAACAGAATACATTATTAGTTTAAGTTGTCAAAACATAATGTGTTTGATACAAATAAGGATGGAAGCCACTATCAACTAGGAAAGAAAATATTAATAATTCACCTTTTTAAATACTGTATAAACTACATCCATCCTATACAGTACCCCCAGCTACTGAAGAATCTGGGGGGAAAAACTAATTTAAGCATACTACATTGCAACTCTTTTCAAAACCCAGTTGCTCTATTCCCACCATGCATCTGATCCAATTAACCATCTAGTCAATGTTCTTTATCACTGTTTTCAGCAACTCCTAATTATGCTAACCGAATTAAGATAAACAGCCCTGGAAAAAAAATCCATTAATATTTTGCAACAGGGGAGTACTAACAAGTCTTTATTACACCAACTACCCCATCCTCACTGGCCAGGAAAATGAAGAGCAGGGGAAGGAGGAAAGAGAAAAAAAGGCAAAAAGAAAACGATACCAGTCCTTGAATTACTGATTAAACCAAGCCTTTTAAAAAACTTTATAAAACTTCAAAAAAAGAAATTAAAGTACAAAATAACCAAAAAAAGAGAAGAAAAATTATCAAACCAAGACTTACAATACCCACTTATTTTTTCTTTCTTTTCAATTGCCTCACTTCAAGGAGTCACAATTGAACAACACCAATCACTAAATGTCTCTAATCCTGACCCCAGGGCTTTTCAAAGTGGGTCGTCTTTTTGGAGAAACAGAGTATCCATCCATCCATCCATCCATCCATCCATCCATCCATCTATCCATGCTCTCCTCCCCAGCTTCAGGTATGAATCCAACCACTTGGGCTGTGGGGACTGGCAGGCAAAGCAAAGCATTAGAGATCCACACAAAATAAGGCAACTCCAACCTGGATCCTGTCAGGGAGACCCCCCACTCCTTCCCTCTCCCCTGTGGCGAGGACCCAGGCAGCCTGAGCGCAGCTCCCTCCTTTGGAGGCAACCAGCAAGCAAACAAATGTGGTGCTCCAGCTGGAAGGTAGCGGCGTGGAGCCCCACCTCTGGCCAGCAAGAGCGGAGCAGGCAGGGGGCCAGGAAGGATGTGCGAGCTGAACATTTGGAGCCATGCTCAGTGGAGTTTGCAAGCGAGAGGGAGACCCTGGCCCGTTTGGTTCGCTTCAGCACGGGATGGGAATGCAGAAGTTGGAGAAAATCTGTGCCTCTTGACCTTCAAACCTCAGAGGCTCTTTTGGGGTGACTTGGAGGGGAGGGCACAGGGTGGGACCAGCCAGTGATGGGATTACTTGAAAGGGAGCCACAACAGAGGGACAAAAGAGCCTGCAACTTGCTGACACCCGCCCTGTGACATACTCTGTGCTGGGACGGCGGCACGCATGCCCAGAGAAGGCTCTGCATGCTATACCTCTGCACGCATGCCATAGGTTCGCCACCAGAGCAGGGGTGGGTTTCTACCAGTTCAGACCGGTTCTATAGAACCAGATGTTATGAGTCTGAGCAGTTTGGAGAACCGGTAAATCGTGGCCCTGGTTGGCCCGGCCCCTTCCTACCTGCCCACTCCCTGCCCTGCCCAGTTATTCCTCATCTTGCCCGCCATTGCTAACCTGCCTTTTCCCACCACTGCTACCTGCTTTCCACTGCGGCCCTGATCTCCCTGGGTGAGTGAGCCTACAAGCAAGCCCCGGTCGAGTCGACACCCGAGCCGAGCCAGCCTAGGCTACTGCGCTGTCTCCCAACAACCCGCCCCATCCCCGAGCTTGCCTGGGCTGGGGCCATGCTTGCCAGTGAGAGGAGATAGCGTTCTCTTGCCCCACTGGCCACGGAA